CCGCAAGCCGAGCGCGCGAAAAGAGCGCCCCAAAGGCGCCGGCCCACGGCGCCCGCTGCGCTTTCCCTCCCGAAGGCGGGCTGCAGGGCCCAAGCGTGGACCCTGGGGCACGAACACGCGCACCACGCCGCCACCGGGGACGAGAGGCCGGGCGCCCACCTGGCCGGGCACCCTGCATTTCTGGAATCACCGGGACGCCTGTGTAAATTTCCGTTTGCCCTGTCATTTTCCAAAGGCCACTCAAAATCAGGGGACAGAATGCCTCCTCTCCAAGGGTCCGGCCAGCCCACCCACTCAAATTAGATGACAGAACGTCTCCTCTCCAAGGGTCCTGCCAGCCCTCCCACTCAAATTAGGTGACAGAACGCCTCCTCTCCAAGGGTTCTGCCAGCCCACCCACTCATGATCAGGGCACAGAACGCCTCCGTTCCAAGGGTCCTGCCAGTCCTGCCACTCAAGATAAGAGGGACAAAATGCCTAACTAAAACAAAACAAAAACACAAAAAACTGGAAAAATAGAGAAAAGGGTGTCCTCAAAAATAAAAAAGCTAAGCACGTTGACAGCGCCAAGAATTAACTACCAGGAAGAAGAAACCCTACATGTCAGATCATAAAGTACGGAAAGGCAAGCCCGCCGGCAGTCCAGGCCCGGGGGGACCGGGGTCCCCAGCCCGGCAGAGCCAACGGCAGCCCGGCTCGGGCGCCCCTCGGAAGCGCGGGGTCCCCGCGGCCGAGTCTGAGCCCCGGCCGGCCCCGGCTCCCCTCTGCCCACCCTGCGCGCGGGGGCTGGAAACGGCCGCGGAGAACCACGGCGGGGCGGGAAGGAGGGTCCAAAGAGGGTCTGGGGACTCGCTCGAGTCGCTCCGTTTCTCGGTGGGCCCAGCGCGCGCCGTGGGGGAAGAGGGGCGGGGGTCCGGGGGGGAGGGGACGGGCGGCACTCACGTAGACCGGCAGCGGCCACGGGTAGACGGCGGGCTCAGCCCCCACGGGCGACTTGAGCCTCAGCTCCAGCTTCTCCCCCA